TGTCCTATCAGAAAGAAATCAAATGACAACCCATGAAGCATATCTTCTAGAGGATTCTGAGTGAAGTATCCCTACCTCCCTGTCACTAGAGACCCCTGCAACCACCCCGGAGGCTGGCTGGCCTGCAGTGACAGCTTGTCATGCTAGGCTTCTTTTCACCAGCATGCTAGGCTGCCACAGAGCTGAAAGTACTGTCCATCGGACACAGTCAGTTCTCAGTATGTGCTGGTGCTTCAGTAAGATGGAAGTCAGCATGCCACCCTCATGGAGGAAAAATCCAGGCTTGCTGACCTCACCAGTGGGCCCTGTGCCAAGGATTTCTCTCCATTTTTCCATTTTTTTCATTTAATCCTTGTTTAGGATTAAGTCAGGAGGTAGGTCCATTTGTATGCCCATTTAGGTGGAGAAAATCTGATGCAGAGAGAGGTTAAGTCACTTGCCCAAGTGAAGGGCTGGTCTAGCTCCAACTCATTAGGCACTGTGGGCTCATGGGAACTGCAGACCTTGCTGCAGGGACCATCACTTGGCCACCCAATGAAGATGAAGGAACTTCTTGCAGCAACTGCCCCTCCAAACTTTTTCCCAGGGGGTTATCTGTTTATGCCAGCCACCCAACATCAAAGAGTTCTGATCCCAGGCACAGAGGCCTGCTGGGTGGCTGCCATGTCCTTGGCATCTCCCATGTGCCATAGGAAAAGCCAGCAGGACACAGCCTGAACTCACCTTCCCTCATGCAGTCCCTGGGCTGGGACCTGGGAACACAAGCTCCGGTCTTGTCTTTGGTGTGGCTTGGGGCATTTACCCTCGCTGGGCTTGGGTGCCCTTGGCTGTCAGTGAGAGATTTGTGGGGCTTCTCCAAGCATGGAACTTTTTTCCCCCAAAAGCTAATAGTGACTCTGAGAACAATACCAATTGTGTGTCACATGCTGATTGTAAGTGCTCTGCCATTTCCTCAAAGAGAAAAGTTAGTGCAGATTAAAAGAAAAAAAGAGATGTCATGAATTTGCATCAGTTCTCAAAGGAGCTTCTCTATTCAGGCTTCTGAGAGGAGGGGTCTTCAGTGACGGCAAAAAGGCCAGAACTCTAGGCTGCATCTGCAGTAGTTTCTGCACTATGCATAGCCCTGGCCAAACATGCCCTGACACCCTAGATGTAAGGTCATTCTGGATGACACTGTACAGGCCAGATTTCTTCCTGAGCTCACAGGCAATGCAAGTATACTTGGAAAAGGCCAATGAGTCTGAAAATGTGGTTTGATGCTGCTCTGGCACCTGCTTGCTGGATGGCTCTGTGTGGGTGGCACAGCAACTCTGTGCCTCCCTATTCCTGCCTCTGAGCCACCCCTGGGGGAGTTTGCACATGGGAATCACACCTTCTTGTGTCTGCATCACTGCCAGGTTGCAAAGGCCCTAAGATACAGCAGCACTCAATTAACGAACTAAAGCTACCCTGCCTGCCTGATAGGTGTTTGGGAAAATATGTAACCGTAAAGCATATTATGAATTAATGTTATTTAATGTTAATATTAGTGTTGATATAATTCATGTAGTTTTAATTCCTAAATAGTCTTCTTATTGCTACTAAAAGTCACAAATGATCCAGAGGTGGGGACATGGCTTCTCATTTGCTGACACCCATGTTTGTCTGTACCCAAAAGCAGAGAGAAGAGGGGATGATGACCAGGAAACTGAGGGATGTCAGAAAAACCTTGGCTGGCAGCACAGTCTGGTCAAAGGGCCAACTCTTTCTCCTGAGGACAGCAGGCTGGAGCAGGGAACTCTGCCCCTTGAATACTGTTTGTATTTAATCTCACTTGTCTAGGTGAAACTGGAGCATCTGTTCTGAAGTGATGGGGCCTTGACAGACAGCACCATTGGTCACAAAACCAGGGGCTATGGAAACAGAGACTGGATGATGCCCTTTGACCCATTTCCAGCCATTCCTGGAGATTTGAGAAAACAAATCTTTAGTCTCCAGTATTCCTTAGTGATCTAATAAGTGCCAGACAAGCCTGGCCATGGGTTTGTGAATGCCCAGGTCAGTGTCTGGGAAGACCTCTGAAATGATGGAGAATTTTGTCCCGGCTGAGGGGGTGTGATAGGCATCCTGTCTACCCAGAGACTCAGTGGTGCCCAGCACTTGGTAGGATGGTGGAGGAGCCACTGTTACCTTAGCAGTGTGCTAGCTATTCCAGGTTCTCACTTCCAGCCATAATTTCATGATTCTTTGAATTGAAAAGACTTCAAAGATTTCAAGACTTCATGCCCGCATTTTGCAAATGAGAAGACAGAGGAGTGAAGCTTGAGCAGGGCCCCTGTAGGGTTCCTCCTATCTCCCAGACCTGGAGTTTTTCTTTTTATACTTGTAATGCTATGTTTTGAGACTTAATACACATTCCAAGAAAAAAATCCAGGACACTAAAAAAAAATTACCCATGCTATTTATTCACTCTCAGAGAAGCTGTTAGCTCTAATGACCTTTCCAAATTAATAAAATCTGTAAATGCTCAATTGTTTATTGCACAAATTGAGTTGTACCTCTAAATGGCTGAAGGGAACTGCAGGCCTGCCTGGAATATTTAGCTCCAGGACTCCGAGGCCAGAAGATGGATTTTGTACCCTAGGCAGAGGAACTGTAGTTATCATTCCCTAAAAAAAAAGAAGAAAGGCAACCAAGCCACCCACGGTGTGCTTGGCCCTATGGCACACAAAAAGTGCTAGTGACAGCCCCTGTCCGGGAATTTGTTGGAAGAGATAACACTCTCAAACATGAACATGAAATAGTACCTAAACAAGGACTTGATTCGGGCTATGGCATTCAGAGAAAACAACAGAGAGGATCTGGAAGTTTCCTTGGGGATGTGGGATTTATTGTGAACTCAGGAGAAAGAATGGGATTGGGTCAGTTGCTCTGGAAAGAAATTGCTAGGCCAAGAGCTGAGAGTGACCAAAGGAGAAGAATGAGTGTCAGTGGGGCCCACATGCTTGGGAGGGAGCAGGCAGAAGACCCACAGATAAGACTGTCCTTGGAGGAATAGCAGGGTCTGCAGGGTGTTGGTGTCTGGACTTAAAGATGTAGGTGCCAGAGAATCCTCTCTCTCAACACTTGCTCCCATGTGAGCCTGTGCTGCATAAACCCCATGTTTGCAAGCTATGCTGAACAGTGTGTCCTTTAGTCCTGGTGACAAGTCTCCTCGTTCAACCTTTTGAGTGACACCAACCACTCTGACATCCAACATGAAGATGGGCAGAAGTCTTATAGAGAAATACTGTGTATGTTGTGCCATTATTGCAAGGAAATTGTTTTATTTTTAATTAAGGATATATATATATAAACAAAATTTACCATTTCAAGTATTTTTCAGTGTGCAGTTCAGTGGCACTAAGTACATTCACATTGTTGTGCAACTAACTGTCACTGCTACCCATTTCCAGGACCCTATCTTCTTAAATGGAATCTGCATCCATTAGATACTAATACCTCCTCTCCCAGCCCCTAGAAGCCACCATCTACTCTGTTTCTCTGTGAATTTGACTACTCTAGGGACCTCATAAAAATGGGATCATACAGGATTTATCTTTTTTGTGCCTAGATTATTTGGTTCAACATAATGTCCTTGAGGTTCATCCATATCGAAGCCTGGATCAAAATTTTCTTTCTCTTTAAGGCTAAATAATATTCCCTTTTAAGTTGTTTATCCATTTATTTACTGATGGACCCTTAGTTTGCCTCTACCTTTTGGCTACTGTGAATCATGCTGCTATGAATAAAGATACAAGTATTTGTTTGAGTACCTTGCAGGAAGTTTTGAGCTTACAAAATAAAGAACACTTCGAGTTTTGAAATGATCAGGTCTGATCTGCTTGCCCCGTGCTGTTGTAGCTCCACACCAGTAGATTGCCACCTTGCTGTTGCCTGTGTGTTAAGACTGCCACCCTGAGCAGAGCTCTGCAGTTCCGTCTGCCAGGGACAGAGAGTGCAGGCCGGCCTTTCCTGCATGCCGCCTTCCCCACAGTGCACTAAGCCACTTGGTCTGTACTGGAGCTAGTGTCAAAGCCTCTGCCTTCACCTTTTATCCTGAAATACGTCGATCATGTTGCATTCGTGCCTCACTGAAGTAGCAAGTGCCTTGTGCTCTTGCTTACTTGGTGGGTTCTTTCCCTCACCTTCTAAAATGCACTTAGCCATGATTGTGAAAGCCAAGGAAAATCGTTCAGGGAGTCTCCATATCCAAGCGCCTCCTCACTCCTGCTCCCTCCAAAAACTGTACATGTACCAAAAGGGCATCCTGTCTTCAAGCGCTGCTACTTCTGTTTGTTAATTGCCCAAACTCACATGACAACACATTAAAGCAGTGACATACTCAGATGAAAGGCAGGAGAATTCACAGTTCAGGTTGGCATTGTCATTAACTCAAGTCTTTGGTGTCAACTCCCTCCTTCACAGAGCATTCCTGCCTGGCCTTACGGTCAACCTCCGCAATGCATTTTCTGGCCTTTGTTGGTTTATGTCAGCTCTTGAACATTATTTAAATGTAGTTTGGGGTCCATGAATGCAATTACCATTGTGTTATTATTCAGAGCCAGATTGTTAAGATGCAAGCAGCTGTACAAGGAGATGCCCTGTGCTGTGAGGTCCAATTTAGGAGGGCCTTCCGTAGCTGAGCATGCAGGGTTGCTAGGCAACCCCATGCTACAGGAGTGGAGGCCTCACTCTGGAGTGGGAAGAAGCCCAGCGCCTTCAGGGAGTTGGAGGCACTGGTCAATCTGAGACTGGCACAGCGCTAGGGAGTGGGAGGAGGTGGCATGGGCAGAGCCCACAGGCTTGTGGGGGTGGGGGCACCCCCCCCCAGCTAGCACATGGTGTTCCCAGGGAGGGAAGAGTGTTGCTGGGAGGGAGAATGCAGAGAAGGTGCAGAAGCCTGAGGTCGGCCAGGAAACCGAGAGGGATACCCAGAGCAGATGCTAATGTGATTCTCCATCCCTTTCTTCTCTTTTCAGGAAATGATCAGGTTTGCAGAAAAACTGGTGGCCTGAAATTTCAGACTAAGGCATCAGTGCCTGTGAGTATGAATTTTGCTTGTTTAGTTCTGTGGTTGGGCAATAGTCCTGGGAAGCAGGTAGCTTTTGCTATTAGGGGAAGGGAGCATGACCTGGGTGGGATCGGCTTTTGAGTTCTTCTAGAAAGTGCCTTTGCTGGGGAGGCTGGAGCCGGGCACATGAAACATCAAGTTGGCTCTGTCCTCTATGTGGAGAATGTTCCTGCCAGCTTCACAGGAGAGCTACTCACTTGGCTTGTTGTGTGCACAGCAGAACCCTTCAAGGGGAAAAGAGAGGCATGCATTTGTGCATTTCTAAGTTTACTATTAGGTGGACCTTATTTAGAACAGTAAATCCTCATGTGGGCCATGTAACAGTGTGTTAGATAAGAGCAGTCATATGTACCAGTCTCTTCATGTGGCTAGGCATTGGGAATGGGTGGGCTCTGAGCGAACTGGGAGATACAACAGGGCTGGACTCTGTCCAGGCTGGGAAGAGAAGACATCTGAACGTGAAACAATTAAAGGGCTTTCTGGAATGGTGCACGGGGTCAGCTCTGGCTCACATGGCATAGAAGAAGGCTGGTAATGGGTTGTATTTAGGGAAGACTATGGGGAAGGGGAGACTTGATCTGGGCAATGGAGAAGGAGGCAGGGATAGGGCCAGAAGCTCCTGCACAGAAACCTGTAAAGGCTTGCTATGGGACAAGGGCAACACAAGCCTGGGTCTGATGGCCAGAGGGAGGGTGTTGGTAAAGTTGGTTGAGTGTTGAATACCTTTCTAAATGGTCCAGATACATAGAACCAGAATATAATAAATTATCTCTCATCTATGCAAATAAAATTAAGTTTCTGCCAGTTCGTTTGTTACTCTATCATATTGAAATGACTGAATGGGTTTTTCACCAAACTTGAAGGTGTACTTGAGATCAGTACCTGTGTACATTGGATAGACTATAGGAAATCCTGAACTGTGGATCTTTCTAGGTCTTAGAGAGAGACACAAGCAGAAAGGGAGGCTTCTCCACACAGTAGTAGCTAGGGGTCACCAATACCCCATGTGATCAGCAATCAGGACATATCCTGAGTTCTACATGGACAGTCACCATGATAGTGCTCCCAGCTGTCCACTTGCTCTTCCCCAGAGCTTCTGGTGCCCAGGTTGAGGGACAGCTAGGGTTACTCATGTAACAAGGGGTAATTTGTTCTTTGTTCCATACAAGCAGGAGAGCTAGCTAGTTCTGAGTCTCAGCAGCAGCAACAACCAGCATTTTCATAGTGTTACCAACTTGAAGTATACTTGGCAGTCTTGCTGCATATATGCTCTACAAAGGCACTATCAGGTGTTCCCATTTTGGAGATGAGAAAACTGAGGCTCAGAGTTGCTAAATATAGATAAGTGGTAGAACGAAGATGTTCTAACTTTCTGCTGCACATAACTGGATACCTCTCTGCTTGTGGATATTTCTCTCCTTCCAGGGCTGGCCCTGCCTCCTGCACAGCCATCCTGTCCTGGGGAAGCAGAGGGATGGTTGCGTGCCCCCCCTGCACCCTGAGTCCTGTTCTGAGAATCCTATCTGCTCTGAGGGCCAGTGTGTTGCTGTCACTGCTTTTATAGGCTGTGTGTTAGGCAGGTGGTCTTGGGCAGGACAAGAAGGCAGTTATAGTCCTGCCCTAAGTGGAAGGCTGTATGTGCTTCTAACACCAGGAACACTCTGCCAAGAGGATAGGGCTCTATTTGGAGCCATCACTGACTTAACTAGTTGGGATTCACTGGAGGCAGAGCATGAGCTGATTCCAGGTGCTTGTGATGCATCCATGGAAAGGTCTTAGGAAGCACCTGTCAGAGAGACCAGAATCCAGGGTAAGGAAGCAGACAGCAAACAAGGATGTATGCTCAGGGCGAGAGCTTCTTGATTTCATCCATATAAGTTGCACTGCAGTGATGTCAGGTTTAGAGACAAGGGTCAGGGCTTATTTAACCCCTTATTCATCATCATCCACTTGCGACATGTTGCTGGTGGCACACCCTGCTAGGCCTCATCTCAGCCAAGAGCAGGGGCTCCAGAGAATGTCACAGATGAAAGCTACGTTCCACACTTTCAGGTGCTGAGGAAGGGATGGGCTCGCAGATAAAAGGGACTTGTGCAGGGCACCAACTACATTTCCTATCATGTCAGTGAGCATCCCTATTGTGAAGGCAGGCATATGCCATGCTTACCTGACCTGGCAGTAATTTTAGTTGCTGTTACAATTTGCAGTTTAAGAGTATAGGTAATGAAATAAAAATCCATAGTGCAAAGGTCTGCTTTTACTGAAAACAGTATGTGTTTTCTTAACTGAAATTTTATCCTTATAGGTAATATAAAGTACCAAAAAGTCTTCTATAGAAAATCTCCTTCCCCCCTCTGATTCCAGGCTGCTCTTCTCCTTGAAATACTCAATAAGTTTTGTGTTACTTTCCATAAATGTGTGCACACCAACAGCCTGTTTTAGATATTCACTTTATGGTGAAAAGATACTATCTTACCGGGCCCCTGAAGTCAACAGTTGGAACCATTCCAGAAGGAGCTGAGTTGAAATTTGCTTTTTCTTTGAAGAGACAGTTTATAGCCTGATTTGGCTCTCAGTGGAATGTTTAAAATGCACAAAAACTTACAAAAGTAACTTCTTAGAGTTACTATACAAGCAAGTGATGTAAGAATCATAAATTATTATTTCCAATTGCAATGTTAAGTACTATTATTTAAAGCAAATCCCATGCAGTTTGAGAACACCTTATTGCAACCCTTAGAATTCCCAAATCTTTAAAACAATTTAAAATTTCACTATGTTCATTCATTATTGAGTGCACATTATTGAGGTCTCACTGCATTTATTATGTAATGTCATTTGCATATTGTTTAATGACTTACTGAAAGATATATTCTCTTTCCAAACTGCATAGTCAGCACCTTGTGAATATCACTGTGGTTTTCTTTGATGAAATGACTTGATATAATGTGGAGGCACTTTCTCAGAAGAGGATCTGGTTAGCCATGCATCAAGCTCCTTGGTACTGAGCTCCCTGTAGTAGGAAGTGTTGAAATAGTAATAAGATCATTTGTCAGCAAAGTTGCACAGGAAATCTAAACTCGGTGACAGGCAGGTGGGGAAGATTTCTGAGGTCCGGTCATGGTGCAGTTTAGTCTGTGAATCTTTGTTATCATTACTGGGTTTATCTCAGACTGTCCCACTCATTTTTGATCTTGTGGGTTTGTGTCATGCCTACAAATGTGTATGTAGAACTTATTTTGTAGTCATATAGGTTTGATGTATATGTTTTTCTCTTGCAAATGAGATCCCTGCTTTCAGTTCTTCAGGTTTACACTCTCTCCAGTTATAAGAAATCATTTAACCAATGCATTGCCTGCTCCAGCCCCAAGATGGATTTTGGTGGCACCCCTATGAGGCCATGAAAAAAAAATCTCATTTCAGTCTAAGAAATAGAATCATTATCTTGATTGAAATAATATCTTTCCTCAAACTGCATGCAGATAAAGCATCAAATTGGTGGAGTTTCCTTATCACTGCAGAGTTTGCAGGACACAGAATAATAGCCTGTCAGATGCTTCTGTGTTCTATAACACAAAGCCTATGGCTTCTGGCCCAGTTTGCATGATACGGTGTCTGGTGCAATGTGAAATAATGCCATTAAAGATACATACACTATATGAAAAGAAGAGGGTATCATTGGGTGCAAGACAGCATGAGTAATAAATGCTGCTGTGACTATTATTATGGCGGTTGTCATTTTTACATCACATTTAGCATGTGGGGGATCTGTGGGATAGAGCAAATACTATAGGTGTTTCTTACCCCTTTAGTGTTTGAGTGCTTTGGAGCCATATAGCCTTAGGCTGAGCCTACCCGGCTCCAGTTGAAATAAAGGAACAAGGCTTGAAAAGTGGACTGGGACCTAGTTCTGGCTGGTAAAAAGGACAGCCAGAAGCAGGCAAGCCAACTGACATCTCTGGGAAGGCAGTGAAAGCCCTGAGGGTGGGGAGCAAGCAGGTCTGGGTTCCAGTCCTGCACACTATTGTTACTCTGCAGCTTTGGGCTCTTGGGACTTGGTCTCCTCATACAGAGGGGATAGTGTAAGGGTACCAGGAAAAGGTGAGACAATGTTGTGCAAAGCCCAGCATCCTGGCTGTCTTTCTGCCCTCTTGTCAGGAGGAGTAAGGGGTTGTGGTATCAACATGCTGACGCTTTTCTTCTTGTACGGCTTAGCTTCACACATTCCTGCATCAGAAGAAAAACTTCCTTCATGTTAAAGAGCAGTGCCCTGGCTGCATGTCCAATCTGGTCCAGTCCTTGCTGTCTGCCTGCCCTCTGATCTGACCCTTTCCAATGACAATGGAGGAAGTGACTCAAGGATATTAGTAGATGGCCTTTTTGAGCACTTATTCTGTGCCAGCTACTGTTCTAACCATTTTACATGTACTACCTCACTTAGCTCTTACAACAAACTTAGTATCTGCCCTTTATAAGTGAAAAGGAACACAAAAGTTTATTCATTTACCTACGGTCATACAACCAGTGAATGGTAGGACTGGGATCTGAAGTCAAGAAGCCTACTAGGAGCTTCTGAAAATGAAATAGACTGCATCAGGACTAAATAAAACAGTGCTAGTCACCTGGGCTTTCACCAGACCATAAGACATAATTCTATGATAGAGAGAAGCAGTGATAATAATCATATCTCTGTAATGTTCCAGGAGGCCATAGAGGTGCTTTTTGCTCCAGTGATGAATGATAGTCTAGTCAAGGTGCCTGACCATAGGTGCCTGGCAGTTCAGGTACTCTCTGCACAAGGATCCTGCAAAGTTATCCCTACTGTGTAGGCAGCGGGGAGCACCAAGGTATGGAGCACCTGCCTGCCACTTACTTGCCCCCATCTGACCCAATCCCCATCTTCCCTTTCAGGCCCTTGGGCTGTGCTGCCTGCCAAGAGTTCCTCAGGGAAGAGCGCTATCCCCCAAATC